TGTGTGTGTGTGTGTGTGTGTGTGTGTGTGTGTGTGTGTGGCTGTTGAGGAATTTGCTGTGCGAGAGCTCCCTCTTGGTGTCAGTCAGTCCACTGTTGGTGCCTCACAGACACACACACACACACACACACACAGACACACACGGTGCAGACTGGACCGAGACATGAAACCAGAATTGAACAGTTATTTTTGGACAAAGGAAGTCAGGTTTATTTCTGCAGCAGCTTCGTTATTTATTACATCTGTTCACATCAATAATAAATTATTTTGTCTTATTTTTAAAAATATATAATAATAATAATAATAATAATTTATTAAAAAAATTAAGTTTTTGTTTTGTGTTTGTGTTGTTCTTTGTTTACTTTCAAATGTTTGTTTCAAAACATTTTTAGTTAAATGTTTGAAAACCACCTCCTAATAAAGCTGTTTATAAATGATTGACTTTAGCTGTAATAAAGTGTTTATAAAGACTTTATAAAGCATTAATAACATTAATAATAAAACACTGAATTTACAATAAAACAGGTTTAATATTTGTCAAAACGAGGTGCTGAACTTTTCTTCCATCTCTACATGAAATAAATTAATATTTAATCTGTTTTTAGATAAATAAGTTTTGTCAAAGACTCTGTTAGACGTGTTAATAAATGTTATTATTTTCTTATTTATTCTTTATTTCTCAGACAGTTCAGTTGAAATATTTTGGACATAAATTCACAAATGAAGCCACAACAAACGGAGCAACAGAACTTTAGTAGAATCAATATTTCAATCTTAAACAGGAAAAATAAAACAATCAGATGAAAACTTCGACACAGTTAAATGTTTTAATAAAATAATAATAAAAACTCACCTCCTGTCGTCTGTGCTTTAAAGGAATTCTAATAAAAAGGAGAAAAAGCCTCAGATTGAGAGAATAATCTTGATTTATTTGTTTGTTTTCAGGGCCGCTGCCTGAGCTTTAACCGTGTGCCCCACCAGCAGCAGAGGACCTGGACTCGGGTCTGAACCACGAACCAACCAGGGAGGACGTTCAGGCCTTTTATTTGTGCTTTTATTTTGTTATTTCCTCTGCAGACGTGCGAGCTCGCAGCTGAAACCACTTCCTGTTTGGCTCAAACTGTCCACCTAACCAAGTTTTAAACTCTTATATCAGCTAAAAAAGTCCTTTTCTTCTTGTTTTCAGACTGATTCACTAAACAAGAACTGATTGTGTAAGAATAATCATCTTGTTTTCAGAATGTGTAAGATTATTTGTCTTGTTAGTCTGAAAATTTGACTCAAATTAAGTCAAACATTTCTGCCAATGGAATAAGAACATTTTACTTGGTAAGATTCTTGAAATACTTGATTTGACTCAATTTTTTATTTCAAGAATTTTACCAAGTAAAATGTTCTTATTCCATTGGCAGAAATTTTTGACTTAATTTGAGTCAAATTTTCAGACTAACAAGACAAATAATCTTACACATTCTGAAAACAAGATGATTATTCTTACACAATCAGTTATTGTTTAGTGAATCAGTCTGAAAACAAGAAGAAAAAGACTTTTTAGCTGATAAAAGGTTTTAAAACGTGTTTAGATGAACATATCAGCACAAAGTTTTCTGTCTTTGCTCTAAAAAAGAACTTATTCACTGGTTTTCCTCCTGAGTTCAGCTCCTCGCTGAAGGCTCTTCAACATACTGTGCAAAAACCAAACGGTTGTGAACACAGACGGAAGCTATCTTTAAAACAAAAAAAGGAAAGTAGAACAAGCGCGGGGGGCGTGGGGGGCTGGGACTCAGACCGGCGTGGTCCCGGCGGGCCTCGGCTGCCTGTCGGCGACGTCTCGTCACTCTCCTCCAACTGCAGCGCTCGGCCCGCCGGCCTCGGCCCGCCTCGTCCTGTCATCTCATCAGCGAGGAGTGCACACGCATGACGAACTGCAGACAGGACGCCCCCAGGTGTTGGAAGACTTCGCCCTCTTCTTTTTTTTTTGTTTTTGTTTTTTTAAAGCCACCTTCCTGTCCAATAGGAGGGAGTTAACTGAGCAGCTCCGGCAGCGTTTGAGGGATTGATGCCTCCCGGACCCTGACATGGTGGCAGTCTGCTCAGTAAGGCGTGGCACATCAAGGCCCGTCAGTTAACCCAGAACCAGAACCTCGGGTCCTGGTTGTCTCCCGGCACCAGAATATTAAAGTTTAATTAAAAGAATTAAAGGCGGCGGCGAGCGGCAGCCTGTGAACACCGGCCCGACTCGGCTTCACGCCGCCCGCCGTCACGGCCCACCTCGACACAAACACGAAGCAGCAGATGCGACGGACGGATGAGTATTGTTCATTTCCAGAAATGATTTTCTGCCCCCCCACTCCCACCCCGACGTCCCAAAAAGCCGGGGTTCCATCTTCATGTTTCCTGTGGACTCTGCAGCACGCCGTCATGACGCCGACACCAGATGATGTCAGTGTGAGTGGGAGCTGTGGGG